GGACCACTTTTTTGAAATCAGGGACCATTTTACCGAAATCTGCTAGGCTCTCTCGCTGAAGCGTTCCGCACAGCACACCCAGGCATAAAACTTTTAAGACTTATTTAAATATATCAAAGCAGCGAATAGAGAGAGAGAGCCTGGGTCTAGGCTGAGTTCAATGGTATTTTGTGCCTCAACGGGCAGTTCAATAGTATTTTGTGCCTCAACGGGCAGTTCAATGGTATTGTGTGCCTCAACGGGCAGTTCAATATTATTTGGTGCCTCAACGGGCAGTTTGATAGTATTTTAATTGTGCCTCAGTGGGGAGTTCAATAGTATTTTGTGCCTCAACAGGCAGTTCAATGTAATTTTGTGCCTCAATGGGCAATTCAATAATGGGTAGATCATTATTTATCACCACCGATGGCGATGTATAAATTGTGTGGTCTATCAAAGACCGACATATCTCGTAAGAAAAGTCATTCGACATGTTCCTACAAAATGAAACATCAACAACTGTTGGCAAGTCATCTATAGACAAAACTTCTACACCATCGTCTAGAATTAATAAGCCACTATTGAGAGCTTTTTTAAAAGCTCTCAATAGTGGCTTATTAATTCTAGACGATGGTGCTTTCATGACTTTATCAGCTATTTTAACAGCACGGAATATGCCTTTGACCTAGTGGTCAAAACAAACGTTTGATAATGTCTTAGGATCTCTTAGTACAAGGAGACAACATGTACTTAAAAGTACATGTTGTCTCCTTGTACTAAGAGATCCTAAGACATTATCAAACGTTTGTTTTGACCACTCGGTCAAACGCATATTCCGTGCTGTTAAAATAGCTGATAAAGTCATGAAAGCACATTGCTTGCCTCTAGAATGAACACTAAAAAGTTCATCCCCTTGATGTATGTTTGATGAAAGAAATAAAGCCATACTTACCAGTTTATTTTCAGAAAAATTTCTTTCGCTTGCATTCGGTTCGAGAAAGTCTCGAGAGAGCACATGGAAATGCGTGCGCATATACCAAATTTTGTTCTTCGACGACCCCCCTCATTTTACGAACGCACTTGAATCTTTAATTATGCCCCCCAAAAAAATGGACAGACAGACACAAGTCGAGATCTCGACAATACATAGAACGCGCGAAAGACTGGGTCGAGTGGACTCTGGAGCAACCACTGGCGAGAAACGCTAGGACGTCAAGAATAGTGTGATAGCAAAAACGTCAAAACAATGCGACGTTTTCATCGTATTACCTTGCAAATGGCCTATGTTTTTTACAAAAAGCGTGTGCACTATTTATGTGAGAACACGAGTTTGTGGGAGGGGGAGAGAAAATATACTCGCTATACTTATCGCGGCATATCCCTGATAAAATATAATTAAAACCAAATCCGCCAAATCAGCGGCACCGGCTATCGGGCATTACTTGAACAATAAGCGACTGTAAACAATGTGATTTAGACCTAAATGCTTTTAACCAATCGTACAGCTTTAGCTAAGGTAGTTTTATAGGCCTAGGCTTGTTTACTCAAAGAAATAAACGCTTTTGACGAGCTCTTTGGTTATTTATTGAACTACATGACTCGACGCTGATTATATTAACATACGGTTATTCCGTTCAAATAGGGGTTACGAAAAAATTCGTCAAAAATTCAATACTAAGTTGCCCCAAAATTTTATTTCATCAATAGCAAGCGAAAACATATTTCTTAGATCTGGTTATGATTTTTTTTTTTGAATCGATGTAACAATGGAGATATTTGCTGCCTAATATGGCTTATAATAAAGAGGTTCGAAAATAAAAAAAAACATTAAGAAAATCTGTAAAATATTCACTTTTTACAGAAATGTCTCTAAATTTCGTCTGCTAATCAATAAATATCTCTAAATCATAAAAAGAAATCATGTTTTGTGAAATAATCCCATTAACGTGCAAAATAGAGCGACTTTTGTAGTGCCGTAAAATGACCTCTAAAAATCGAAAGTGGCCTGGGAAAACCAATTTCGACGTCTCTCTCCTTCAATATTTATCCGATCGAAATAAAACTTTCACAACATTAATACTTCGTATAGGCCTATATTCTGACAAAGTTTGAAAGATTTTGAATTTTCTCATTTTACACGTCATACCTGACTATTACAGACAACCGCTCTTAAGTTTTGCTCGAAAAACAAAGCGACTCTGTTTGGGACCAAATGCTAATTTTTGGTGCGACGAAGTTGCCTTTTACTTGGACGGTGTATCATTTGTACACAAGTATAACCCTTTCAACGCGGCAATGACGCCCAAGTCCAGGGTTTGGCGAAAGAAAAGCGAGGGATTAGAAATTACGACTAAAGGATCTAAAGAGCTCCCTGGTGGACGAAAAGTGCACATAATGGTCGCTATTGCTTATGGGAAACGAGTTGTGCTACGAGTACTGTACACAAAAATGGACGGTCCATTTTTTGCACAGTTTATCAAAGGGCATTTCCGTATAGCTTTTGCCCGGACAGGTCCTAAACAAAAAGGAAGGCGTTTATTCATAATGGATAATGACCCTTGCCAGACTAGTAAAGTGGCAATAAAATCTCTTGAAGATATCGAAGCAGAAATGCATGTAATACCTCCACGTTCTCCCGATCTAAACCCTATAGAGAACATGTCCCATCTTGTGAAAAATGACTTACAGCGCCAAGCTATTTGCGAGAATATCACGGCTGAATCATTCAGCGAATTTGAAAAAAGAATTTTAAATACATTAGATAAGACTTCCGTCGACGTAATAGATCGCACAATAGATAGTATGTCTGGAAGAATTTTTGCTGTAATTAAATCCGAGGGATTCCGAATAAAATATTGACAATTCATGCTTAATTTTATTGCTTACTATTACGTCATCTATATTACGCAATTGAGACCGGAAATTCAAAATGAAATGTAAACATGTACAGTTCTCGTCGACAGGAACAACACTTCTCAGCAACATTCCCCACGATAAATATAGTATTATTCATTTGCCACACCAAATTTCAGTGACATTTCTTGTTGTATACAATTTACTTTCAAAGCTAAGCCGAATATTGTATAATAAAGTAGCTCACTTGCGACTTTCCACAGTTCTCACTTCTTGAGTAACTAAAACTGCAATATTTTGTATTTAATAAACTCAGTGTTATTAACGAGAACTGTTCAAAATACGCATTCAATGCATTATCTAAATAAAACAAAACATTTTAATAGAAGTGCAGCTATGACTGAAATCAGATTAGAGGGTTATCCGAAATATACCATAACAACCAAGTGCGAAATTTCAAATAATATTACTGAGAACTGTGAGTGAGTACTGGCTGTCTCAGCTTATACTGTTTACGTTCGTTAACAGAACTTTTATTAAATATTTAACAGTTATTCTACGAACTCGAGTCGAATATGAGCTGATAGCCGATGAGCCGCGTAGCGCCGAATCGGCTATCGCTCATATTCAACGAGAGTGAGTGGAATAACTGTTTTATTATATACACAAGGTCTGAATTCACAGACTTTGCTTTTCAGATATTTTCAATATTTTTTTATTTTGTTTATGTTTTTATCTTCGCTCTTTCGGCCGAGTATTTTTTTCAAAAATATGTATTTTTAACCATTTTAAATTTTAAAAATTCATTTGCTGACCTGTAAGCAATTTGTGGGCATTTTTTTCGTTGTATTTTCAATCCTGTAAAGGCTATAAAAAGCGAACAACTTACCGTTTTCTCGTTCGCAAGATGTCGGAAATTCAGTTTGAGCCGCCATTTTGTTTTTCTCTACCATGGGCGTACCGGAAGGAAAAATTTAGGGGGGCGGGAAAAAAATTGCCCGACTTTTCGTGATTGTGCCCGACTAGTACCAAAAAATTTTTTCCGGAAATATTATTTTGCCGACCTCCCCCCCCCGTCGCCAAAAAATTTTTGGTCAGTGAAGCATTTTAGGGGTCAAAAAAATTTTCCGGAAATACCAAAATTTTTCGTAACATCGCACAAATTTTCCAAAAAAAAATACATTTCCCACAAAATTAACAAAATTTTCGACAAAATTGACAGAATTTGTCCCACTTATTTTTATAACTAACCAAAATTGCCCGACTGTTGATCGAATATTGCCCGACTGCCCAAAAAACTGGGGGGAGCTACCGAACCCCCCCCCTCCGCCACCGCCCGGTACGCCTATGCATCTACTAGCAGGATATGAGCTAATATCCTGCTAGTAGAGAACCAATCAGATTGCAGAATACCTCATATCCGGACCTTGTGTATATAATAATAACTATTATTGTACGTGCGGTATAACAGAAAGCGACAATGAATTACAGAAAATTAAGCGACAATGATTTTATATAAGTGTATATCTGGTTTTCAGTTCAGTCCTGTGACTCCTGTTCACTGTTTTCTAGAGCAAATTTTGCGAAACAGGAGGCACACGGGTTCAGGGAAATTTGATTTGATCGTGGAATTGGCTTCCAAAGGTGGAAAAACCGCCACCTAACTTGCATCATCTCCGTATTCGCATGATCCACAGAGCCTCCCTTTATCAGAAGAAGAGGAGCATCCGATGTGGCGAAGAATGGGGTGTCCTTGTTTAGCTCAATGTCTCGTTTGCAAAAGTTTTTTGGTGCTGGCAAATGAACCGTGGCTCCTTCAAGAGCTTGCAACAAGTCCGCCCAGGCAATGACAGCTTGGCTCCATCTAAAGTCGTTTAGGAAAATCACCTCGGCTTCTTCTGCTCCCTGCCAAGCAAATGTGCCTGTTGCAAGATTGCAGAAGGTGTGGTAGATGATTTTAAGAGGTGATATAATAAACGTTTTTCCACTGTTCGCGGGGCCGTGTATAAGTATATTTTGATATTTCCCCTGGCCTTTTTTTAAGGCAATATATAAAGCTGCACAGAATGCCTCTACTGAAATGCAATTATTTCGAAGCGCTTTTAACGCTGTTTCAAGCCACGCCCCATCGCATCCTTCACAGCAATTTCCTTCTTTCGCCTCCTGCAACAATTGAATGCGGGACTTTTTTGAACGAAGAAATTTGGC